AAAGTACAACTTGTAGTTTAAGGTTTTTTTTTAATCTATTAAGTTTTTTCAGTGGTAAAAGAGAGTGTTGTTTTCTCTAGAGGTCTGAGTTCGAATAGCTACTTTGCAGGGTGTATGTTCGTTTGTCAATGGCTAAGAAAAATTCTGAACATATACTATTCTATAATCACTTCAGACATTTAAAAAAAGGTAAAAATTAAGTCCTTTAAACAAGATTAAATATCTGAATCCTAGTATTATAAATGGAGTATATTAAATTGAAATGACCACTCATAATAGACTTTTATAATACTTGATCTGAATTAATCGACTAATGAATCAAATACCAATAATTATATAAGAATTAACCATTAAAGTTGAACAAAGTAATTAAAATAACTTCAAGTTGGAATGAAGGTAAGATTATAAAAAGTTTGATTAATTGATACTTATGAATATCATTTAAAATTTAAGATTATTATTCAATACATTAATAATCAAAATAATATTTTTAAATAATATTAGATGATGCTAAACATTTAATTATTTATAATTTTTTTGTTTTTAAATCTACTCAAAGATATTTCACATCATCAAATAATAACCTTAAAACTTATTTAATTATTAAAAAAAGTTAAGATCCACTTACACAATATAAATTTTTTTGTTTTACACAGATTTAGACCGTTTTGATGAGTGAAAATAGATAGTTGAGATTAACTCTTTGTTTTTTTTCTAGTGAATATATTTTTATTTCCTACTATTAATCTCAGACATCTATTTTCACTCATACAATGATCCTAAATCTATATAAAACTAAAAAAATTTACGTTGTGTGACATGATCTTATCACATATATATTGCATTGAAACCAATGTAAGCCTTTTTGTATTTCGTGCTAATCCGCTCAAATACAGCTTTCTTTGTTTCTTTTCTTGTTCTCCAAAGGGTGTCTCCTTGTTTCTGGATTTATTTATTTATTTATATATCTATAATAGCCATGTTTTGATAACGATATGTACCTGCATTATTTTATAATCCACTTGTTGCATGGTTTTCACTAGAAACCTTTTTAAAGTATAAGATTCAATATATTTTTGATTTGTTGTCTTCTAAAGACTTTATTCGCTCCTAATATTTAATTGAATTGCTTTGTTTTTAGTTTTAAAGTTTCATGCCCAAATACTCTTTGTTGTACAAATCGTCAGCTAAAGTACAACACTTTATTTAGGGGTGAGTAAATTCTACTGTACTTAATAAAATTGACCTTTTCGATTCAATACGATTTGAAAAATTTTAAATTTAAGTCGAGTTATAAAATATAAATCGAATAATTCAAGTTATAAAATAAAACTTTAATAACTCAAATTTTTTAAATTTAAATCGATTACATTAACTCTATATTAACTAAATAATATGAAGGAATGTATTTTAACTAAATAATATTTTATTCCAACCCCAGCGTCTTTCTTTTCTTCTTTAATTGCTGCTGCATCTTTTTATCAATTTGATTTCTCAGGCGGTCAGCCTTTTATATCGTTTTTTTTTTAGTTTTTAAGATTTACATCTTTATGAAATTTTAATCTCTGTCTTTATAATAAGTTTTTTATATTTTATGGACGTTTTCTTCTTTCTTCATAACACATTTTCGGTCGTTTGACTATTTTCAAGATTGGGTTTGATATGTTTTAACCGTTCAAAATAACACTTATTTATTATTTCATTCCTTGCTTAAGATCGTCATAGTAGACTTGTATATGTGAGTTGCATTCGTAGATAGTTTTTTATGACGGTCGATTCTGATTTGCATTTGTGGGTGGTCTTTCAGTAGTTTAATCTCTTGTTTTGGTTCATTTGCCGATGCAGTCAAATTTGTTCGTATCGGTCTTTTCTTCGAGTTTCTTGTACGAGTTTTAACTTTTTCCTTGTATGATCATTGAATGATCTCAAGTAGCTAGTTTATTTTATAAATGGTTATAGAACAATATTCTAATTATGTATTTAGTTTTCGAATTTCTTTGTAATTTTGAATATTTTCTCTTTTTAATAAAATTAGCAGCTCTATTTGCATCAAAAAGAAAAAATATGAACAAAATTATATATGTACTATGTATGATTATAAAATACCGTTTAAAATTGAATCAAATAGTATCATAATATTATAAATATTTACAATTAAATATAAACAAAAAATTGAACATCTCGACTCGTCTTGAATTTTATAAACTCGACTCGATACGAACAAATTTCAAATAAAATTTGAATTATAAAATAGAACTCGTCAACTCAAATAACTAAAAACTTTTAACTCAACTCAATTGATCGCTGACCTTATCTTCATTCAGGCAAATAAAAAACTAGTATTGATCATAAAGCAAGTCTCATGCCCTTTGAGATTCTCAAATTGTTTGGACTAAGCAAAACTAACTAATTAATTAACCTTAAAATAAAATAAAAAATGTTGCACTAAGAAATGTATTCATTGTCATTGTCATTTTTAATTACTATATTCTGACATAAATATAAAATGACCATCCTGAGCGTAGTTGAAAATATGATAAAAATCATAATAATATAAATTGAGCGCAATATAAAATGTTACATTTTTTTAATATTTTCGGTTACATTTCAAAATCACCATTTTTAAACCTTAAACTAAGTTACTGCACAACAGAATCACTCCAGATAATAAGATATTATAATTAAAATCAAATTAGCACAAAATTATCCAAATGTATACTATCAATCATTTCAAGAAAAAAATTCTTTTTTAAATTTATACATTTAACTGTAAATTTACACTATTAACCATTTTAACAATTTCTAGAGCACGAGATTAAAAGTTCGAACTTCTAACTTGATTTTTTTTTATTATAACAGTAACTAAAGTTTGACAATATTAAATGAATCTTCCAACTTCTCTTGATGTTCAATCAAATTAGTCTAAATTGATTTGTTTTATTAATATTAGGTAAGTGCGATGTAGTATTTGTTTAAAGATAAGCTTTCAACCATTTGACATTGAATGTTCATACCTAGCATTCGTGATACTCGAACCCAGGATAATAAAGAATAACAAAAAAAATTTACCACCGAAATCATGATACTCGAACCCAGGATAATAAAGAATAACAAAAAAATTTACCACTGAAATCGTTTGATTCGTGCTCTAAATTAAAATTTTAAATAATTGTTTTAGCAATTTAGTTTTAAAAGATTCTTGAAGATACCGTGGGTGAGATGCAACTGTATTTTATAGGAAAAAAGATGCATCAAAAGAGCCGCAACCATTTGTCAAATTACTAATAAATTAATTTCTTATTACTTAAATTATACTCCAAGTCACTATATTGCTTGTACATTTACAATTTAGGGTTATTTGTTTGCCTCTTAATAGAATCATTCAGCGTTGAATGTTGAACCGTTCAGCATTCAGCGTGTTTGTTTCGCAACTCTGAATGATTCAATGCTGACTGATTCAGTAAAATAGTGCTGACTGATTCAGTAAAACAATGTTGAATGATTCAGCAAAACAGTGCTGAATGATTCAGCACAGAAATACATTCTGAATGATTCAGCAGAAGTAAATTATGAATGATTCAACACAGAATTAAATTATGAATGATACAGAGTCATTATCAAACATGTCACATTCAGAGCTAATTCATACAGAGCTTCTGAATCATTCAGCGCTTAATCATTCTGAAGTAAACAAACAATTCCTAAGTGTTTTTTGTTAAATTTTCAAAAGGGTTGAATAATATTTTAATTCTTGAAACTGTACCTTGTTATCATTTTGCTACCTGATTTTTTTTTTTGGTTCAATTGAGTCGGACTTTTCTTCTATTAAACATATTAAGAACGTGTTATCTAGTGTGTCATGTGATATCTAGTGTCATGTGATAGATAATATATACTAAAATTAAGAAAATTATAGTTTGATAAAATATCTTAAAATTCTAGAAAATAAAAAAATCAATAAATCTTCATCTTAAGTTTCTTTAAAAAATGTAAAGATTTTATATTTTTTTAATTATATATATATATTATATGTAAACTCATTCTTAGAATGACATAATTTTTTTGTAACAATAGATAAAAAGAAAAATTCAAGAATTAAATTAAATAAAAAAATTTCTTAGATATTAAAATGATAACAATATACAACTGCAAAAATCAAAAACCTTACTTTTTGAATTTAAAATTTTAAAATTAGATTCATTATAATGTTATCTTTTATCATATGATTTTTATTTTAAAATATCATATTAATAAAATATATGATCAATAAACGGAAGAATATTAATAATGTTGAAAATTAAACTTAAATTTTTAAATATAAAAAATATTCTATCACAAAATTTAAGAAAGAAATATCAATAATATTGATAATTGAACTTAAATTTTAAATATAAAAAAACTAATTTTTAAAATATAAATAACATCATTAAATTCTTTTTTAATTTAATATGAGATTATTACAAAATAATAGTTGTTTAAAACCTTATACAAAATAGTATTTGTTTAGAATATTGACAACGCACACATATCCTGCAAACGCAACTACTCGAATCCAAAACCTCTAGGGAGAACAACACTCTCCTTAATATCTGAGTAGACCACTTGATAAGTTCATAACATCATTAACATTAAATTCTAAATGTACACATATAATAGAAATTAGCACATACAAAAGCATTACTCTTTTTCGATAATAAACAAACATAATTGACAGAAGAAATAAGGAATTTAGGTATTAAAAATATACCAAAAAATATAAATAAACAAAAACTCTTCTTCTTTCCCAGCATTATTAAAAAATGGAAAATAATAGCTTTCAAAGTACACAATTCTCATCAATGGCAGTAATTTCTGGTATAAGATTGTACACACTGCTACCAATGCTCAATAAATTATTAAATGGTATTTTCTATAATTACAGCTACACATGTCTAAATTACATACACGTTATACATTCGGTTATGCTATCAAAACCATATAAGCTAAATCATGCCTCATTCCAACAAATCGATTAAAGATGTAATAATACTAAGAAGATGAGATACATTCATGTTTGACTAGTAGATAAAAGATTGGAATCGTTTACTCACAGGGTATTGGCATTCTTAAATTCACCAATAGTTCCGAGTCACTCGGAAATAAGTATGGCAATCTTCGTAAATTTTAAAACAAGCTAACTTTCTTCAGTACATCCGTTTGTTTCTGTTAGTTGTTGTGTCCTGCATGAACGTGGAAGACTAGGATGTTAACATGCATCTATTAACCATCCAATCTAAAACCAATTCATAGTAGGCGGAACAATCCACCTTGAACATAAGACCAGGAAACTCGATAATTTAATAGATAAAACCGCTTATGACTCCCTTACGTGCAGCCCAACAAGGGCCTACGCATAGACAACCTAGCATGAGGTTACGTAGAAACAACAAAAGATGCTGAAACCTTGGGAAAATTGTCCGTTTGGGCATTTGGAAAGAAGGGTGGGAGGGGAGGGGAGGAAGAAAAAACATTGACACAAGTTTAACTTTAACCATTTCCACTGATTATGAACAGTTTGGTAAAAGTGGAACTTCAAAGTTCTTGACTCTAGAATTAGTTCAATATGTAGAGCATATTTCAAACATCAGATATGCAAGTCTTCAAACACCAACTCTAAGCTTTAGAGTCATATAGGTGTTTGTGTTTCTCCACATGGCATATCCATTTTACTGTCACCAGCCCCTATTATTTTCTATCATACACTTAGATTAGGGGTTTATAATATTTATAAGCATCAGTAGGAAAGTGTTGGAACCTATCCTAAGTGTCATAGTTGAGGTCTTCGTATATTGGACAAGAAGGAAATGATTTTGTCAAACTCATATTTGCTTAATTCAACACCCCAACTGTTGGCAAGATCAAAATATATTAGAAAAGGGCTCATCACTAAGTTTAGGCGGAGTTCTAGATACGAGAATGATCCTTTTCTGTGAGGTTTTACATAAAACATCCTCCCCCAACAACAAATATATGTGGTAATAAGAGGAAGAAGTAAAAAAAAAAAAAAAAAGTTTAAGACAGTAAAAGAGTTACCATGTTGATGTATGACTAATACCAAGCCCATTGCAAGTAAGAATCATTCCTTTAAATCTGGCAAGGTATTCCTGCATCACAATTACATTTACCCAGACCATTATAAGGTGACATCAACCAATTAACCTAAGAAAACTATGTTGATAATTCTAGTCTACGATACCATTATAGGTGAATGTAAATTCTTACCCGTAAGGTATACTTATCAACCTCATATATTCCAGTTAAATCATACTCAAAGCGTTTCTCAGGATCGATTAACACTGTAAAAGGATGTAATGATAAGATAAGATCATAATATATCAGCTTTACATTCTCTGTATAGTTGGAAGAGAAAGCATGATTGGGTGATGATCAAGTAGCGGTCAAATATCAAAGGAATCCTAAGGCAAACATAATATGAGTTTTTATTCCAGTCCCACAGAAGAATTACCATTGTAAGCTTCGTTTATCTCTTGGAACTTAGTTGTAACAGAACTATCACCCTTGTGCTTATCTGGATGCCACTTCTATAACAACAAAATATGAATGTTCTCTCGTCAACACAGTTGTATTAAAATAAAGGAAATTTTAAATGAAACGAAAATGTGAAAGGCTATCCATGAAGAAGGTGGAGGTTGGGGGTTTTGGGGGGGGGGGGGGGGGTGGAAGAGAGAAAGAGAGACCACCGACCAGTGCAAGCTTCCGATAATTTAACCTGATGTTCTCATCAGTTGCATCGTAATCAACTTCCAAAACTTTGTAGTAATCCTTGAATAGAAATTAGAACTATCTATCAGATACATCCTGACATAATTATAGCTTAAAATGAAACAAATAATCACGCATCTGGGAAAAAAAGAGAGGCAATCAGTATACACTCAGGTTAAAATTCCCAAGAACTAACACAGAAGCCACCAGGTAATCCATGTATTCATGTCATGTTCGTATTATTTTCCCTTTCATAAATTTGTAAATCCTAATTGTGCTTAATGTGTTACATATTTATAAAATTTGACAAGTTAGTGATTAGTGTTAAATAGAAGACTTGTTTAGGCATTTGTGTGGTGTTCGTATTATTTTTTTCATGTTGTGTCATAGTTCATATAATTTTCTTAGGTTTTGGAGTTATTTCTTATCCAATATTGCCAGGTATAGGAAAACATTGAAGTAGTTGAACAAGATGAAAGGGATACCTTACAGAAGCTTTACATAACAGGCAATAATCATGTGTGAAAAAAAAAATACACAATGCAAGTGTTGTAACCAGAAGCACCAGCGGAGGGTATTTATAACAAAATCAATATGCAACCACAATGTTTAATGGATGCAGCCTCGATACATTCTCTAAACCAACAAAGAAGGCACACAAATGTAATGCATGAAGTTTACTTTTGAGGCAAATGTAAACATGTTTACCACCGAATGCTGTTGCAATATGATCAGTGATAGTTAAGTCACCGAACAATTCAATAGTTCCCCTCACAAAAGTAATTTATAAAGGCATTGCTAAAAAAAATTCACAAACTTAAATATTTTTCACAGAATAATTAGGAATTTCAAATCCACAGAATACCATAAAAAGGTAGAGTATTGTTTAGTTGCTACCATTTTACAGAAGGAGGTGAATCTCATTCATGATAATCAAACAACAAAACAAAGTAGCTAACTTCGACTGAATCGGAGACGAAATATAAATATACAATTTTTAAAAGAAATAATATTCTAACGAATCTCATCAATCCTTTTGCAATTTTTTCGCCCATCATAATTCTGTTCACTTTATCTTTAAATTTTCAGTTCTTCCCTTTCATAATTCTTTTGAGCAATTAACTTTGTTCTTCAACTCCACAAAAAGAATTTCATTTTTAACATCCTTTCTAAAGCCAACAATAACAATTCCATTCAAACATCAATAAAAGTCACATAAAAAACCAAACCCATAAAATGAAGTCAAAGAGATTTTCTTTCAGTTCTATATAACTAAAAAACCTATACCATTAAGTCAAATACATATTTTTAAGTCAAAAGATTTCATCTAAAACTAAAAAAACTGAAAATAAAGAATACCTTAGAACTGGAATTATCTTTGCCTTCCATCTGCAAATGAAACGGAATAACTGAGCGAAAGATTATTATTTACACACCCCATAATAATTTATCAGAATTTTCATGTTGAAAAAGAGAAGGAAAAAAAAGAAGAAAGATGATTCGGATGCCACGAGTTTGAATATGGATCTGGGACTTATCTCAGAGCTTGTAGCCTGAAACAAAGTTATACCGAAAATCTGGTACGCGATGTGCACGCGCCGATAAAAGACATGAACCTCGAATATAGAGGAAGTAGGTGACTGAAAACGTTGAGAATATTTGGATTATTTTTTAAAATTGTTTCAGAAATAACGAAGGAAAAGAATAATGTATACACTTGTCTAATGAATAAAATTGTATATAATTTAAGCGGTTGGATTTAAATAGTAAATTCCCTATATCTGTTTTCTTTAGGTTTAAATATAAAATAAGTGATCAAATTATAACTCTTTCCACATATGTGTTTAGAGAATTTTTTTAATTATCTTATCGTCTAACGTTATAAATGTTACCATTTTAGGTGTCCGGACAGTAAACACTATAAATTTTTTCTATAAGTGACATGAGTCACATTTGTTAATTTTTTCCAAAACTTTGAAAACATTCATTTCAACCTATAAACTAACTTCGGTAGTCACCTTTTGCTGTCGACGAAGCTCCACCCGACCTCACCTACCATTAACGATCGATACCCCTATGAAATCGCGATCGAACGACGATCAATTGACGTTTTGTACTGTGAACCCTAGGATGAAAATAGCAACCCCACGCGATTCTGAAGGCCAGTCGGCAACAACTAAGGCGGCATTTGATTGAGAGGATGGAAGAGACTAAGTAGGTGGTTGTGGCCGAAGGGAGACGGTAGCAGCTTAGGGTTAGGATTTTTTATGAATTTGGGGTTTTTCTTTGCAATTTAAGAGAAATTAATTTTTTTTATAAATATAATAATATTTTTAATTTAACAAAATCAAAATTACCAGAATATGACACGTGTCACTTAATGAAGAAAGCTAACAACATTTACGGTCTGGGCACTTAAAGTGGTATCGTTTGTAACGTTACAAACCTGGATGATTAAAAAAAATAATATAGGCACATATTAGTGAAAAGCGATATTGTTTGGACACTTAATTTGTATTTAAGCCTTTTCTTTAGTCTTATATAGGGTAAAGTACACAAATAGTCCCCTAACTATGAGGTATTGTTCTAATGAGTCCACAACCATTAAAAGTTATAAAATGATCACTTGACGATTCATATATTTCAAATTCATCTTTTTTGTTAAAAAATTGAAGACCCTCTATGTTAGACGTTAACATGTTTACTGTGATATGATAAAGAGAAAATCGCCTCAGTGACCAAAATTCCCATATAATATACGATTTTAACCAACTTTTTTCGGATTTGCCAAAATGTCCAACAAAATCGCAATGCGATCGCTAATTCGCAACGCGATCTCCATTATCGCAAATTCGCGTTGCATTTCGCGTTGCGATAGTTGAAAATCGCGTTGCGATGGTATACAATGTCGTTGCGATTTTCCCAATTCGCAATGCGAATAAGTAAATCGCAACGCGAATTGGGAAAATCGCAATGCGATACTGACTATCGCAATGCGATACGTACTATCGCAATGCGATAATACAAAATCGCAACGAGATACTGACTTTCGCAACGCGATTCTGACTTTCGCAACGCGATAATACATAATTGCAATGCGATTTTCAAAGCGCCATTAGTATCCTGGCCAAGTATTTTATTTTTAAATTCCAAACACGAATATTAATATATTGGAACACTGAACCGTCCACAGTATATCCCGTAATCGCAACTCATAACCTAAAACCTAAAATCACAACTCAGTCTCATCTCCATCTCTCACTCTCTCACCCATCTCCGACGAAATCCGTCCCCATCTCCGACGAAATCCGTCTATCTCCATCTCTCAGAGCCACCCTCACAATCAGAAATGGAAAATCAACCAAATCAACCAACGAGGGTTAGTTTTTTTAATTATTTTCTTTTTGAAATTTTTGCATTATTATTAGGTTTTTCATATTGAAATTGACGATAAGTTTACTGGTAATTTCAATAATAGATTAACCATTTCACTTAGATTGCTTATTAAATCAACCGAGAATCGCAACGCGAAATGCAAATCGCAACACGATTTTAGTTTCGCGTTGCGATAGTCATTTTCGTGTTGCGATTTTCATTTTCAGAAACTATTCTTCTTCTGCAAATTGAAACTTGAATGAATTGCATTACTTCAACCAAAAAACAAAGACAAATACGAAATTCACAGTGTTGCAAATTTAAGTTTGAAGAATAAACTACTACTCTTTATGTTTATTATTGTTTTTGGTATATCTTCACAGTGTAGTTTTTGGTATATCTAACTTAGTATGTTTATTGTTTTTGTAGAACTTTTATTCGGCTCAATTGACCTTAAGAAATAAAGTCAGCCTGGCCAAAACAATTGCGTCGAAGCTTTCACCTGCACAAAGAAAAATGTTTGAGGATACATGCTTCGGGCCATGGCTGAAAGTACAACATCCCGGTGGAGATGCGATGTTGACACACTTGTTTCTTCAAACCATGACTAGGGATCTACCAGATACTATACAACGTCGTGATGAAGAGATATGGTTTGATTTTCCACCGGCATATACGTGTTTTGGGCGGGAGGAGTTTTGCATAATCACCGGTCTACGCTTCAGGAACGATGATGTAGGTCGGTACACTAGACACATTACCCGCCCATCATGGTTATCCCGGGTTTTTCCTGAGCTGGAGAGGCCAAATCTACACGTGGAAGACCTGACGAGCTTATTGAATAAGAAAGATGGTTTTACTCGGATGGATGACGTCGATGTTGTCCGAGTATGCCTTCTAATACTTTTGCATGCCGACTTTTTAGGGCAGAGAGGCCAGACAACCTATTCCGAATGATCTAATCAAATTGGTAGAAGACCTAAATGCATGGAACCTGTTTCCGTGGGGCTCGTATTTATGGAAAGCCACATGGAATAAGTTATCGTCTGCCTTGGATGATCGAAAAAGTTTGCATGGCGATGGTTCCAAATACACTTTGACAGGCTTTATTTGGGCCTTTAAGGTAAGAATTTTTATATAATGTTTCCAAAATTATAAGTAATTATTTAACAATTACTAATGTTTGTTATTATATTGTTTGTAGATTTGGATATTTGAGGCCTTTCCCGCCATGAAGACATATGTAATAAAAACTTCAAATGATATTCCCAGGGCTATTTCCTGGAAGAGGAAACGGGACCTTGCAATGGGAAGATTTACTACGGTATACGACAATAAATAATGTAAGTTAACATAAATACTACCATATGTTTATAAACAAGTTATTACTAGTACACGTTTAACTTTGTTTGAGCTTTTATATTGTTAGGAGGCCAACACTCCTCTACAGAGGCTGACACCCACGGAAGCTGAGCTTGCCACTGATTGGTGGCAAGCTAGTAAGCGTTTTTTTGATGGAACGGTTGATGAGCAGCCTTCACTTCGGGAGCCATCACCTCGCCCAGAGCTATCACCTCACCCAGAGCCATCATCTGATCGACCCGACTATACACCTCCACAACGACAGCCATCACCTATTCTGTCACATCATCGAGCCTCTTCTCCACCATCACCGCAAGATAGGCGACCGGCAAAGATGCCATGACGTTTATCTCCCTGTTCTCCACCTCCACCTCAACGGGATGAGTTAGGGGAGTTACGTGATGAGGTCAATGCCTTGCGTGAGGAGGTCGATACTTTACGCAAAGACGATGGTGCATAGCGTGTTGAGGTGTCTACATTACGCGGTGAGGTAGCCGCTCTACGTGAGATGGTAGCATCGTTGCAGAATGAGGTTCATACTCTACGCAACGAGGTAAGTTTAAGATTTTTCATACTCGTAATTCATTCGGTTGCTGCCAATACTGCTAAACTGTTTTTGTTAGTATTTGTTTTTGGTTTTGTTTTTGTCTTTTGGTTGAAGTAATGCAATCCATTCAAGTTTCAATTTGCAGAAGAATAATAGTTTACTTTCGCAACACGAAAATGACTATCGCAACGCGGAAATGGCTATCGCAATGCGAAATGAAAATCGCAACGACAAAATCGCAATGCGAAATGAAATCGCAACGACAAAATCGCAACGCGAAATGAAAATCGCAATGCAATTTGTGTTTCGCGTTGCGATTTTGTCGTTGCGATTTCATTTCGCATTGCGATTTTGTCGTTGCGATTTTGTCGTTGCGATTTTCATTTCGCATTGCGATAACCATTTCCGTGTTGCGATAGTCATTTTCGCGTTGCGATTTTAAGTTTCGTGTTGCGAAAGTAAACTATTCTTCTTCTGGAATGTTTATATATGTTGTTCTTTTAAATGTTTATATAAGTGCTTACTTCTGGAATGTTATCTGAGCATTTTGTGAACTATGATAGAATAATGACTTGGGTGAATACAATGCTAGTTTGAAACATATTTGTCTTTGTTTAATATCATGTCTGTTTATTTACTGATTTATGTATTAATTTTTTTTTAGCGGCCCGATAAGGTGGATGCTTTACGTCGGGTTTTCCTTGCACGACGGAGTTCACGCATTAGACGGCGTGGACGTGCTATTACGTCTCCGTTCACCCCAATGGTGCGAAGACTCCGCAAGAAGAAGCCCGACTCACCTGTCATCCCTCAAGAGTCCCCTCCAATCGTTCAAGAGGCCCCTATCCTCCCTCAAGAGTCCCCCCCACCGTTCAAGAGGCCACTGTCATCGTTGAAGAGGTCCCTCCCACCATTCCAGAGTCCGATTCACATGGGGTAATATATCGAAGTATTGAGAAACCCCCACCGGTTCCGGACATGATGGATGAGATTTGCCTCTCGTATGAGTTACCGGCTAGTACCCTTCCGGTATCTGAAGTGGAGAGGAGACAACTACCGGAAACAATTGTGGATAATACCCTTTGGGCTAAGACCGCAGTTGATTTTTATCTATATGAGCGGAGCCAAGGGTGTTACACTGACATAAGCAAACTCAACGATGAAATGTTTTTGTTGCTTGATCGGTCTTGGTGGGGTGTGCTATTAGGGGTTGAAGACAGTGGCTATTTCGATGGGGAGGTAAGTCTTATATTTGTCTTATATATGATTTTGATTAATTTTTTTAAAAATTAATGTAATTCACTAATATATGTATTTTTTTGTAAAACAGCATATCGATGCGTGGGTGTCACGTCTACTAATAATAAGGAAGCTTAGGAAAAATAAAAAAATTCG